GTTTTCCTCCAATGGTTTTCTGTCTTTGCTGGTTATTTTGAATGAGGGACCCTGGAGATAGCTGTTCCGCCATTTTGAATCTTTATGTATTTCTGGACTTGCTATTCTAATCTGCAGAACTTTTAGTCTGTTCATGGATTTGATTATAGAAAACTTACAATGTGTGTTTATATCTAAATAGGGATAAGTGTACATTTTTGTGCATTAGTCTAATTATATAGCTATGTATAAATATATCTTGGCATTTAATTTTTGCTGATTTAAATTTAAAGAAAACACATCTCTATGGTAAAAAAGAAAAAAAGCTATTTCAGAACAAGAGGCAATTAAGCTCCACATCTTTTGGATTTTCCTTTTGACTATAATAATTTCTCAGTCTTCCCTTGCTTTTCACATTCTTAATTGTTTTGAGGAATCTTGGGCAGACGTTTTGTCCAATATTATTCTATTTGGGGTTTCCTAGTTTCATAGTTATAGCATCATTATGACTTTGGGGAAGAACCACCTCTGAGGGATTTTTCCCTCACACTGTCATGTTATAGCAAAAATTTAGGACGTCAGCATGAGCTATCACTGACAATGTTAAACTTCATTGCTTGGCAAAGAGATACTTATCATTTCTCCACTGTGTAGATTAATTTTCCCCTGCAGTAATCTGTTCTTTGGCAGCAAGTCACTCAGTCCAGCTGCCTTTCAAAGGAGAGGAGAGGACTGAGCTCCGCACTCTGCGGGATGTGATGAGGCGTGGAATCTGCGGTGCCTGGACATCTGTTAGAGAGCCTGTTTCTTGTCCCCTGGTCACTTGTTTGTTCTTTTGCTTGCTTTCGTCAGTCTGGACTTACTGATGTTTATTTCCTGTATTGAATCACAATGACACCAAGCATCCCTTTCCCAAAATACTTGGGATCAGAAGTGTTTGGTGTTTCAAAAACTTCTAATCTTGCAATATTTGCATATACATAACGAAATATGGAATCCAAGTCCAAACATGCAACTCAGTTTTGTTTCATGGATCCCTGTACATGCAGCCTGGAGGTAATTATAAGTGTTTTTAATGTGCCTGTTTTGACTAATTCCGATTACATGAGGTCAAGAATTTCTGTATCATGCTGGCATTCAAAAAGTTTCAGATTTGGAGGGAATGTTAAAATTTCCGCTTTTGGACTTGGGATGCCGGCCTATGGCACCCTATCTGTTGCCTGTTTAGCCACAGGGAGCACCTCCATTTTGGCTGCAGTGTCTTTTGGGCATGCCTTATCCCTCTTTTCTCTCCTCTTTTCTCCTTTACCCCTCCCTCTTCTGGGAACTCCCTCCCTTTCTACAGTACAGGATGCCCCAGGATTTTGTCAGCCTCTTTTTCCGCAGTATCCGTGGGACACACACACACACACACACACACACACACACACACACACACACACACATGAAACTCAGGACAGACACTGGGCAGTTGTCTGAAAACAGGCTTGGTTGTCTGTGTGAGGACTCAGTCTAAACAGCCAGGTTCATAAGGACTCAGGGCTCAGCAAGTAGATGAAGCCAGTTTCCAAGACCCATGTGGTAAAGGGGCAATGTCCAGAACAAAGTCATCTACTGAAGGTCCATTGACTTTACGTGAGAGAAAGTTCCAGAAAGCTTTGCCCTTTCCCTAAAACACCAGGAGTCAAAATACTACAGAACAATAATTTCTAGACATTGTAATGATTTCTTCTGCTTGCAACAGACATTCAGCCTGGTAGGCTTGTAACCTTGATGTACACATCTAAGGGAGGTGATTCCAATGGCCCTGGGGTGATGCAGTCCCCAGTCATTCTGAGGAGAGCAGTGTCTGGGGATCTGTGCAGCACTGAGGGATGACCATTTGTTTCAACATTCACTGAGCTGATGCCAAACTTCTCTAAGTTGTTTTAATTGGCAAACCAAGAGTTGACTCCCCAAAGGCTAATTAGTGGTAAATAGAAATTGATTGTGGAGAGGAGTATGTGGTATCTCCCAGGAGTCTAGGCTGAGGGGAAAATGGCCCAGGTCTAGTCCTGGTCTCTATTAACTCAGGCCCTGGGAGATAAATCACCAAAGTGGCTGCCCTGGGGAGTAAGATGTAAACTTGGTACAGGGTCTGTCTCTGAGGGAAGATGGCACCAGGGAGCCCACATGGTGCCTTGTTTTTGTTAACCATGAGTTCCTCACTCATGCACAGACAACTAGGACCAGCAGCTAGAACCAGGATGAGCCTACCCAGACCTCTAGAGGACTCTCTTCCCTCTTCCTGTATCTCCGCTGAGAGAAATGATTCAGGGAGACAGCAGAGGTGCAGGGAAGTGGGCATTCAGCAGAAAGGGAATGAAAACCAGGAAGTTTATGCAGAGTTGGCCAGCATGCAACAGACACACCAATGGGGTTTTCTACTCAGTAATGAGTTTCTAAGATAATTTGTGGGGGGCACACGTGGATAGAGAATGACTCCCCTTTGTCTCTGGATCCTGTGAGAATTTCATTGACTTTCCTTCATCTTGGTCCCCTATCTTCCTCCTCATTCAACTTAAAATTTTTTTTTCTTTTTAAAACTATAGTTACATCATTTTCCCCTTCTCTTTCTTCCATCCAAATCCTTCCATATACCTTCCTTGCTCTCTTTCAAATTCATGACCTCTTTTTTCTTTAATTGTTGTTACGTGCATATATGTTTATATATATATATATATATATATATATATATATATATATATATATATATATATATATATATATATATTTAACCAGCTGAGTCTGTATAGTGTTACTTGGACATATGCTTTCAGGGCTAACCATTTGGCACTGGATAGCCAATTGGTGTGCTCCTCCCAGAGGAAGACTGTTTCTCCCACTCCCAGCATTCCTTAGTGCCTGTAGTTCTGAGTATAGGATCGAGGCCTCCTGGCCTCTCCCCAGTCCACTTTGGTATATCTGTTGTTGTCCTTATTCATCTCCCATTTAGGCAATCATGTAAGTGAGACTTTACGGGTGTAACTTCTGACATCCCCAGGAGACACAGTCTCACGGCAAACTCCTTGATCCTCTGGCTCTTACCCTCTTTCTGTCTCCTCTTCTCCAATGTTTCCTGAGCCTTGGATGCAGGAGTTATCTTGTAGATGGATCCATTTCAGCTGGCCTCCACAACTCTGCATTTTAGTTGGTTATGGTTTTCTATGGTGGTTTCCTCTGCTGTAAAGAAGAGTGTCCTTGACGGCACAATAACCCTAAGGATGCAGTAGTGGCATGCATACCTTAGAGGTAACCAACAGCTCTCTAATTGGCCTCAGGATCCGCTCAACAAGAGGGAAGACATTCCTGGTACTCAAAACCTAGTCAACTGCCCAGGGCTAGTGAAGTCGTGGATCTTGGAGGAGAATCTACAGCTGCCACTACTAAGCTAGCATACTTCTTAACTATGCTCAGTGTTTGTCTTTATACCAGCAGGTAAGTGTAGTTCACATCAAATTTTTGATCTGTGACCTAGTGGTGGGGCACACACACCAGCAGTACTAGTTGTTCAACACCCTGAGGCAAGAGGATTGCTGAATCTAAGAGTTTCTGTCTGGTGTAAAAAAACACAAGAAGACTCAATCCTAGAAACAGCCAAGCAAAATCCTAGACTCAGAACACATTCTTTCCATGACTGCTTCTCTGGGTCCCAGAATTCAATAAAGCTTCCTACATTCCACAGTGACCTTGCAGGGCTTCAGATCCCTAGGTTCTCATTTCCATAGCTGTGACTTCTGTTGTCTGTTAATTCTCAGTGTCCCATAATCACAATCATCTATCACTAATCCAAGGCAAGGTCATGTGAACACTGGACCAGTCTGGGTATCTGTGTACAAAAATGAAGAAATGTGTGATGTCTAGGAGTCCTCTTTTTGCTGCCTTGGGGGCCATCCTCCAGCAGTGCAAGGCTGGAAATGAATCTACTGAGTTGGTGCGTACTAGACTGTTCTATCTGAGGGTGTTAGGGGAAAAGACATTCACATTCTCTTTTGATGGTTTCCTTCTTTATTCTCTATTCTCTATTCTTCTACCATATGCACTTTCCTACAGCTTATATATCCCAAAAAATCTTTCAGGCAACATAGGAATTACAATGTGGTTACATTCTATTTTTCAATGAATGATGATCATGAATACAGGCAAACACATGTTTTTCATCTTCCTTACATGATTAAAAACCAAGTCACCCCAATAACCCATATACATTTACATCCAACCAACTTATTACAGATTAACAGAACATGAACAAGCAGAAAGTAATTTTTCTCAACCAACTCTTTTGTTGGCAAGCTGCATATTTTGGTTACAAAGAAAGAATCAATCACTTCCTTATTTATCTTGAAAGGTAATCTTATAAGGAATCTTTTTTTTTTCTGAGATAGGGTTCCTCTGTGTAGCTTTTAGAGCCTGTCTGGGAACTCACTCTGTAGACCAGGCTGGCTTCAAACTCACAGAGACCCAACTGCCTCTGCCTCCCGAGTGCTGGGATTAAAGGCGTGGCCACCACTGACTGGCCCTTATAAGGACTCTTAAAGGAATCACAAACCTTAACTTTTATACATTTAAAAAAAACACCAGTCAGTTGTACTTTAAATCTTTAGAGTGCATACCCACTCATCAATAGTTTTTTATATCAGAAGACTGAGGGCAGGAATGGGTTTAAGGAATTAACCATCACCTTTGATCATCAAACAACCCTAGCAAAGAAAATATGTCAACTGGTAACATTCAGACTGCTTTGTATTTTTCTTTTACCTCATCTATGTGTCCTAGTGAACTTTAGATTGTTTTCTGGGGTTCTACCTTACAAGCAGTGGGGATCTCCCCACACCTATTCACACCATGACAGATACCAGAGAAGGATAGCAGCAGCGAACATGTAAGGGCACAGCAGAAGAAAAAGACATTCAGGGTCCATGGTCTCAGGGCTTTGCCTATCCAAGAGACTTGGATCTTCTCAGCTCTAGAAATTTCAGATTCTAGGATCTGAGAATTATCTTCCTTAGGGCTGCTTTCATGTCACGATTCCTCAGACTGTAGAGGAAGGGATTAGCCATGGGAGTGACCACTGTGAAGAGGACAGAGGCCACTGCATCCTGTAGTGAGTAGGAGGAAGAAGGGTGCATATAAACTCCTAGGATCGCCCCATAGAAGAGGCAGACCACAGTGAGGTGAGAACCACACATGGAGATGGCTTTTCTTATCCCATGGGCAGAGGGCTTCTTCAGGACATTGGAGAAAATGTAAACATAGGAAACAACAACACGTACAAATGGCACCAGAAATACCACTGCACCCTCAGTGAAGGCTGTGACATCATTGATAAAGGTGTCAGAACAAGAGAGTTTCAGGATAGGGTAGGGGTCACAGAAGAACTGGTGCACTGCATTGTGGGAACAGAAGGTGAGGCGAACCATGAGCAGAGTGTGCAAGAGAGCATGCAGGTTTGTGATGACCCATGATATGGCCACCAGGAGGACACAGAGTCTGGGCCTCATCATCATGGTGTAGTGGAGTGGGTGACAAATGGCCACATAGCGGTCATAGGCCATCACACTCAGCAGAAAGCTGTCCATGTTGCCAAATGCGAGCATAAAGTACATCTGGGCCATGCACTCCGTGTAAGAGATGGACTTGCTTCCCACCATGTGATTCACCAGCGCCTTGGGGACAGTGACTGAGGAAAAGCAGATGTCAACAGTGGAGAGGTTGGCCAAGAAGAAGTACATGGGTGTCTGGAGATGAGGGTCACAGCTGATGGCCAGGATGATGAGAAGGTTCCCAGAGATGGTGACCATGTACATCCCCAAGAACATTCCAAAGACGACCTCTTCTTGGTCTGACTCTTCAGAGAGACCCAGGAGGAGGAATTCTGTAGTGATTGTCTGATTGTCACCGTCCATGTCTTTGGAAAGAGAGTGAGACCCATGTAGTTAAATCATTCACAAACACTTGAAGAAAACTGTTATGAACTTTCGAAAATTTTGCTTATTATTTGGGAATTAACCGCTAATAAAATGCCTTACAATGTACTTTTACAGCAACGAGTGGTCCGTTGTTAAAGGACTGAATTCTAATGACTATGATTTTATTGATTCTGCTCTTGTTTCCTAGTGACATATATGTGTGCATTTTATACTGGAATTAACTCAGTCTAGGAATTGATGTACTACATTTCACTGTACACATGAAGAAACTGAGGAGTGGGCAGCTAGATGCTTTATCAAAAATTGCTGATCAGTATCAGTGAGAGTTCAAAACAAGCTAATGGTCTTGTTCTCTGTGTTACACATAGACACACATGGTCATGCATGCTCACACATACACAAACATAACCACTCATAGGTGCATGAACAAACATGCACAACACACATACATACACAAACACGCACATAGATACCTTGTAACACAGACACATAAGCACACTTTTATGTACATGTTCTTTTGTCTGACCAGGAATTTCTGGGCATAAGTTGCCGGGAGCCATTCCCCGGTGATGGATGGGTCCTACAGAGGATGTAAGGAGTCAGCGGGAGAAGAAAGTGAGCCAGGCCATGGTGGTCAGGAGACTCTTGAGGCTGACTGACTAGCAGCCAGAGTGTTTCTTTATTTATACAGAATTTAGTTAGAAGGGATACATTCATGATGTTCCAAAACATAGATCATATCATTTTTGGTTTTGGACATGTGTTCCACTTCCTTTTGTTCATCTTTTAGTCATCATTAATAAACTATGAGAGAACAGAGTTATCATTTCCAATCACTTTCCCTCAAGTTTTGACATCATTAATAAACAGAATTATCATTCTTACTCATTAACCCCATAACCCAATTTTTGAGAATCTAGAGGCATATGACAGCCTGTGCTCAGGCTCAAATTCAAACTGCCTGGGACTATAGGCAGGTGCCATGTCTCCAGCAATTTTTATGTTATATTAGCTATCATTTTATTAAATTGTAATCAAATGAAAAGTCACTACTAAGTGTCATACATTTCCCAGCACTCGGGAGGCAGAGGCAGACGGATTTCTGTGAGTACGAGGCTAACCTGGTCTACAAAGCAAGTTCCAGGAAAGGCACAAAGCTACACAGAGAAACTCTGTCTTGAAAAACCAAAAAAAAAAAAATGTCATATATTATAAACCCAGAGGTTGTGCTGTGGCTTCTCTATTTCCTCACACTTGGGGTGGCCAATAGGCTTAGACTGGCTGTTGGGCCTTTGTATTTTATCGGCTACAGAGATGTTTTCACCACAGCTCACAGCTGTTTGTCTGCTCACGTGAGCTGTGGGCCAGACTCCTGGGTGCAGTGTTCTCTCCTTTCTGCACACAGAAGAGGGGGGCAAATAGAGTCTAAGTGCAATGGTTTCCTATTGGAGAAAAAAGGTTTTACAGGTGGATAAAATGCAGATTCATGGGCATCTCAAAAGACAATCCCAAGGCTAAGGAATCACCACAGCCAGCAGGTCAGGATCACATCTGGACTGCAGTGCCTATGGAGGAATGCCAGGCAATTTAAGCTGAGAAAGAGAGGAGAGTCACCCTGGGGGTGATCAAAGGCCCAGGGAAAGACAAGAGAGGTGACAACTGTCACGTGAAATGGCCTGGCTGCTGGGACAGAACATGACATGGGAACTGATAATGTTGTTTATAGGATGTGTGTATGGTAGACACAGTGAGGCCACTATACTGTGAGAGTGAAATGGAGCAAAACCCTGACATGTGAGATCCAAGTTAACTTCCAGAACGTTACAATGGATGTAGAACAATGTAACAACAACAGTAAAATCTAGAAAGAGGTCTAGGGAGATGGCTCAGTGGGTAAAGCATGTGCAGTGTAAGTGTGAAGACTTGAGTTCAAATCCCCAGAACCCACATAAAACTCTGCACCATAGACATGTCTTCTATCCCTGTGCTTTCATGGTGAAATGAGAGGCAGATCCCTATATGAGTGCTGTGGCACATGTGCAACTACACTCACAAACATCCATGTGTACACACATACATACACACATACATACACACAAAAAAAATCAAATTTAAAAACCTCGAATATGTTTCCAATGGGTCACAGGGTCAGTGGACTGCAGAAGCAGAGATGAGACAGAATGATCAATAGTTCATAAGGACCAACAAAAGTATCCTTTGACTGTAGATGTTAATGTTCTAGAAGCCAGATAGTTTCCTATCAAAGAAATAGAGAGAGATGCATAATGGGATGTAAAGACAACTTGTTTCAGTGGGGCAAGACCACAGTTATGGCTCAGTCCTGAGAGCATTAAGCTGTAGTTATTCCATATTTTCTTATGCTGTTCATTAAGAGATGGTGGACACTGGAATGGTCAGTTGCTGGGAATAATACTAACATCATGGTTTAAGCCCTAGGTGTACGGTTTCCACGGGACACCAGTGCATCATGGTAGGTCATGCATGGATGCCACTTCCTTTGTTTGGCTCTTCAACTCCAGCTTTTAGATTTCAATTCCACTTTCCCTAAGCTTCCATTTGGAGACAGAATTCTGCTGCCACAACTATAAAAAGAGAACCTTCAGGATATATGTATGTGTGTGTGTATGTATGTGTGTGTATGCATGTGTGTGTATATATCCTAATGAGTGTCTGTTTTGCTGCATTGGTTTCCGTGAGTTGTGGACATGTCCAGAGTGTCTGAGATGCTAGATGCGCAGCTATGTCTGCATCACTGGGTGTTGGAGACCCTGCACCTTAAAGGCGACTTTGTCTCTGGACTCTAGTTGAAGGCTGGATTCAGGAGCATCCAAGCCGCCACAGTCTGAGACACTTTCATTATACACCCGCACACGCCAGAGGATGGGCAGAGAACAAATACGAAGACCAGGATACAATAATGACTGTCTCTGTTTCTCCCTGTTTCTGTGTGTGTGTGTGTGTGTGTGTGTGTGTGTGTGTGTGTGTGTGTGTGTGTGTGTGTGTTTCACTCTGTGTTTCTCTCTCTGTCTCTCTCTCTTTCCCTCACTCCCTCTCTGCCCCCCACGCCCACTTCTGAACAGGCTTTGGAGCAGCCTGCAGTACTGCTCCTAACCCACTGACCTCCATTATGTCCTTCTGCTTGCTCTGCCCACTTTGCGGCTTCCACTGTGTCTTCGTGCGGAGCACCTCATGGAGGACAAGGCCTGGACGTGTAGGAGTGAGATGCTTTTCCTCCTTTGAACTTGGTCAGGTGCAGAGAGTGAATGAAGTTCTTTCTCTGTCAACCCATGTGCTCAAGTCCATGGGAGTCTGCCTGATGTGGGGGCGCCCTCTGCTGCTCCCTCAGCCACTTTACCTGGGTGCTCTGGGCTGCTGCCAGGTGTCTTCAATAAAGTTCTGTGTCTGCTGGTGCCATGTTTGACTCTTGTGAGCCTTGCTAAGGACTGTGTCTGAAATATCTGATGAGCTTGGATCTCTGGACTGTACAATTAAAACTGAGTAGTTCCTAGACTTGCCCAGTTCCCTATATGGGGCTCAGAATAGCATCCAAAGTAGCTTAAGTCTCAGACTCCTTTGTTATGGACTCACGGGTCACAGTCAATGAACATAGAGAAGAAAGTGCCACAAATGTGGAGATTTGGCATGGAGTACGACAACCTTGCATGTCTGAGAGGGGAATCTCTTTCCAGTAAAGGCTGATAGGCGCCTGTTCTCACAGCATCACTAACTCTAGATGTCTCCTCCTTATCTACTTGGAGAACAAGCAACATTTCCCTCTGAACTTGGCTAGCTTCAGAAAGGTTTGAGGGTGCCTCCTCCCAGTGCCACTCCTTATGGAGGTGTCTCTGGGCATCAGTGCTGTCGGATGGACATTCCCTAGCCTGTGTCCCAGCCATCTCACCTGCTGCTCTCCAAGGCTCTCATAGAATCCAGGTCTCTACTGCTCCCATCCTGGACTGGGATGAGGGGAAATTCACAGTATGGGGTGAGAACTGAGGGAGTTCTCTTCACAAGGACATCTGGAGTGAGATGCTTGGTTGTCTTTGGTGAAGCCTAGGTGTTCGAGAGAAAACAAAGAGATGCAGGTTCTGTCCCTGGAGATCAGGACTTCCAAGAGGGTGAGAGGTTTGTTGTCACACTGGGGCATCCCAAGGGTTGATTCCTCAGAGGTCCTCATTAGGGGTATATGCTCAGTGCTCAGTGTTTGCATTCTGTCTGCTTGGGCCAAAGAAATAAGAGTAGGAAAAAACTTAGTTCGTGCATAAGTATATATCCAGTTTTGTATTTTTATTAATGTAAGCATTTAAAAGGACAAATTCCCCCTGTAAACATTCCACATGTGTCTATGTGATTAATTTCCATTATCACTCAATTAAAATCCCCAGTCCTTTTCACTGTGAGTTTTCTTTTAGTGTGTGTGGGAAAGACATCTATTTACTTACAATCTGACCCCAGTACCACAGGTGTCTACAGTACAAACAGTAAAGTCACAAGTGACTGAAGCAAAAACTTACAATGTACAATACATGTTGAGTTGTTAACTTAACAGGACAAACGTCAGACATCAGCCCTGGCTTTCTATCATTAGTGTTTGTGTGTGAGTGTGTCAGTGTGTATCTGCATCAGTGTCTGTGTGACTGTGTACGTCTGTGCATGTGTGGGCCAGAGGCTAGCCTTTTGTGTTGTTTTTCAGGTGCTTTCTACCCTATCTTTTGAAACAAGACTTTCAGTTGCTGATTCAGCTAGGCTACCTGACGAGAGAGAGAGAGAGAGAGAGAGAGAGAGAGAGAGAGAGAGAGAGAGAGAGACTGAGTGTGGTATGAGATCTTGAAACCTCAAAGCCTACCCTGAGTGGCACACCTCCTCATTAAGGCCACACCTCCTTATCCTTCTGAAACAACTCTACAACTAGGAACAAAGCATTCAAATACATGAGAAAATGGGGACCATTCTCA